GAATTTTAATTCAATTTTGAATGACGGTGTTTGATATTGAAAAGAAAGCTTAAGACTGAAACTTCTGCAGAAGGTCTGCTCGAGCCTGGGGAAAGGTGGGAGGGGTGTGAATTCTTCCTTGCTCTCAATGAGTTGTTAATTCAGAGAAGTGATTTAAATATATTACTGATTATTCTTTGCCATGTGGAGTCGCAGGGATAATGTATTTACGTAATTTTCTGAGTCTTAAATTCCTTGTGTTACTAAAACGTAGCCAGCCCCTAGAAGATACACCTTTACTGAAGTTTGTTTCAACTTGGTATCAACTTCAGATACCTACCTGGGAGAACGGGCACCATAACAGAAAATAAATCTCTTGGGCAAGTTACCTGTCCTACACGTTGCTGGATTTTAAATTAATGCTTGGATCGGGATGCAGGCAGCGTTGTGGTCAATGTGACAAGCTTTTACTGCTGCATATGGCGTAGGGGATGCATAAGGGAGCTCTGAAAGTACTAGGATGCTAGTACTAGGAGGTTACACTTCCGTGGGCATAGGCTATATCTTTCTACCTTTCATTTTTTTTAATTAAAGAAAGAATGGTTGTAGATTAAGAAACAATGAGGGACTTGGAGAAAAAAATGAGTATGGAGGAAACATAGTTTTGCTCTATTTAGAAGGGATGAATACTGTCAAGTTGTAAAGTTTTAGAGAAATACCGATTTTATGTTTTTATTCACTTGCAGCACAAGAGCGGAAAAGCTGTTGAACAGCATTTTCAAGAAGAGAACTCATTGCCACGAGGTGTATTTGAAATCAAGATTTTAGCAGGTTTGCAGTGAAACTTCTTTTTTTTTTTTGATAATGAAAAAGGGGAGATTAAAAGGTCATGTCAGGATCAAGTGTTTCTTTAGCTGTCTGGTGCTGTTGAGAGCTTCTGTAGGCTGTTTTTTTCAGTATTTCTCCATTGTGAGGTTCCTGCTGTCTCTAGTTTGTGTTCCCATCCCCATCTATAGGCTATATTTCAGCAGAAGTGGAAATATATATTGAATAATGTCTATCCAGCAATACTTGTAAATATGCAGTACTATAAGTGTGTACCTAAGACTTGCTGAATGTGGTCAGACTTGCAGACATGTCCTGTTACACGAGGATGGAGCACCAAGGCAGAGCATCATGGCAAGTGGAGCGGTAGCCTAGCCTGGGATGGCAACTCCTATTTTCCTATTACCAGACCAGGTATTTTGGTTGTAAAAACCAGACTAGCTTACTTGGGTTACCACATCTTATTAAACAACGTAGCTCCTGACATAAACTAGTTCTTTGTGGGGGTCTCTTTAATTCGATGTTCAGGTAGGACCCTGGGATGACGAGCTCCTGCAGTCAGTGGGTTGGCTGTGGTGCTTCTTGCAGGAGCCCTGTGCTGTATAGGAACTCAGTTTGTAGAAAACAATGCTATTCCAAAGTATTTATGAGTTTGTTTTAGTGCTGCCAGAAAAGGGAGCAGGAGGATGGAGATGATCTTTTCCCAAAGAAGCCTGTCCCAGCAGCTCAGGACAGCCTTGCCTGCGGTGTCTCAGACCTGTCGGAGGCTGGAGAGGGATGTGGTCTCTCTTCCCATTCAGTCCTTGGCCTGTGCTGACTCTTGCCAGCCAGCGAGCCGTGTGATGCCAGTTGCCATAACAGCTTTTGTCCTGTGGATGCGTGTCCGTTAGGCACCGAATTGTGATGCTCCGCAATGCGTTTTGCTCAGCCCGCTGAGCGGTGGCAGCACTGATGGTCGGGGCTGGAGCTGGAAGCTGTAGGACTTTGCCTTGCCCTGCAACATGTGCAGTCATTTACGGCAGGGCAGAGTGGGTGCGTAATCCTGTTAAATCAAAAGCATATCCCTGACGACTGCTGTCAAGTTCTCCAGTTCTGTGCAACTTTGGGGACTATGAAATCTCATATCTTTGTTTTGTCAAATCTCTAGTCATACAGATTTGGAAGTCTGGTGCCTGTTTATAGGGGATTGATGGCACTTCCACAGTCAATCAGATTGCATTTTGCACTCTTAATAAGAATGTGTGTGTGGGAAAACTGTATGTGGGATTTTAATTTTAGCCTCATGGATTTTTCATAAAGTCTGTGACGCTTTCTGGAGTAATGCAGTTATTCTTTCCCCTAGGGCAGTGCTCTAATTTACCTTGTTTTGGTTGCCTTCATGGCAGGTAGAGCAATTCTTGCCCTCTGCTTACTCAGTTTATCTAATAGCCAGCCACTGAAGTTATTTGGCTGCTCTGGTGGGAGTGCACAGTATTTAAATCAACAAATATTGAAGGCTTCATTCGGCCAGGTGCCTAGTGCTGAGCACTAGAAACCTCCATCTGTGGTTAGGGAGCTCATTTTTTGTTTTCTTCTGGCACTGACTTTGCTGAAATAATTGTTTTAACGGCCACAGCACGGTCTTTTAAAGACACCAAATGCAGAAAAAGAAATAAGAATTGAAAGAATAAGGGCATAGCTGTTGGCTCTGCCCAAGACTTTACAAATAGTTAAATAACAGTGAAAAAACCAGCACTTTGTATTTTCCCAGTCGGAGTTGTTGCTATCCAAAACAAACCCTTGTGCGTCTTATCAGAGCTTTCAGCACACAGAAGGTGGTCTGGGTGGCGTGAGGGGGCAGCAGATGGAGGTGATGACTTTGAGTCGTGCTTGGAGAGCCACTCAGTTACTGCCTGCCGGAGGTGGGGTTTCTGCCTCTGCCCTCCTGCATGTGCTCCAGCGAGCACTGGTAAGCTCTTCTTGGAGGTTTTGGAGCTCATTTTGGAGGCTCTGAGCTGGCAGAGCCCATGTAGGAGGCAATTGCAGGCTGAGCTGCCTGGGTTTGGGGGGAATGGACCGCTTAGTGCAAGTCAGCAAAAATGGCCAGAGTTGAACCCCAGGGAAGAGTTACCACTCGTCATCAGGTTTTGAAGACACTTTCCAGTAAGATGCTTAGTGCCCAACATCTGTGGCTTTCAGTTGGAAACATGGGGCAGGACTAGGACTGTCCCCCTTGTAAATTATGGGTAGGACTAGGCTGGAGCAAGTCGAGCACTGCAGCAGGTCTTCGAGACCCACCTGGGCAGAGCCTCGACCAACCTGGTTTGAATGCTTCAAGCTGTAGGCTGGATTGGATGGTCTAAGTGTATTGACCAGTTCTAAGAGGGCTTTCAGTTTGGTGCAGGAAATGTTTGTCTTTAAATCCCAGATGAGTGGCAAAAACCGGCAATTTTTGGGAGTAATATGGTTGTTGCAGGTACTAGAATGCATTGGTTTTAGAGACTAGATCTGCAAATGCTGTTTGTGCAGAAATCGGTATCAAACAGACCTCTTAGGTCAACCCAATGGTAAGGAGATGAACTGAATGAATGCATTAAAAAGGGGTTGGAAAGAAGGAGGTGGGTAGGCCCTCAAATAGTTGGGGGGAGATTTTTTCCCAATTGCCACAAAGTGGAAAGGGAATTTGGTGCTTTCTGGGAAGAGCTGTTCGGTGTGCTGTGCAGCGCTGCTCCTCCAGACTCACCCAGCCCTGCTGGTGTTGGCACTGAGCTGTGAGTGCTTGGGGGCACGCAGCAAAGCCCTGCAGAGCTCGGCTTTGAACCATTAGCCCAGGTGTGTTGGACTTGACAGCTTGGGATGCAGGATCTTGGTTCCTCTTCATGCTTTAGCCTTGCATCAGGTTTTTGCCAGGTCAGCAGAGACATTCAGAATATTGTTTTCCTTGAGTGTTTGGGCTTCAAGAGCAGTGTGAAGTGAGATGCTCATAGCCAGCATGCTGGTCTGGCTTGCAGAGTTGTCCTCTGGTTTGACTCTGGGCCCTTCTGAATACTGTAGGCAAAAATTGCTTTGATTCGAGCTGGTTGTAAATCAGTCCTACCTGCTTTGACAGACCACTTGGACGAAGCTTTCGCTGGTACTTTTTGTGATGCTTTTCATAACTGTCTGGCCTCTGGAAGGAAAACAATACAAGGAATCGCTAACAGCAGGTTGATTTAATCGTTTTACTGAATGTGCCAGTGAATTGTTATCACTCCTATTGCCTGGGGAGCTGCTAGTTTGTCATGTTGGAAACCTTTCTGCAAGTACATGGCGTTCATACTTGGATTTTTTCAGCTCAGGTCTGAAATCTCTGATGGGACAAATTCATTGATGGGGGGGAGCATGGAAATGTTTAGAAGGGGGGAAAAAAAACCTTTTTACATGCATACGTGTTTTTACATGCATACGTGAGCTTTTAGTCGGTCTGCAAAAATCTCACCGCATTTGAGTCATGTAATTATTTTAGTCTACAGTTGCATTTAACATGCTTCAGTCTTGTGTCTACTCTGGCTATTGCCTCTGAAGTGACACGATGAATCCTGCTCCTGTGCTGCTTCATCCCGGTGAAAGAGCTGGTCTGCACTGGACAACACTTCCAGGAGAGCTGTGATTGCCAGGGAGTTACTCCTTGCAGCATTTTATTTAGCGGCAGAGCCCTGATGTAGACATTTAGCTGCTGAGCTGTGTCTGTGCCACAAAAACTTACCTGTACAGCCCCACCAACAAGCTTTTCTTGTGTTAATCTGGCATTGTAAAGGGCTTTGCCAGAGATCTGAATGTAAGATTGGGTGGTGTTTTGTTTGACATGTGAGGTGTTGACATATGGTCCAATAAATGTAGTTATTGGAAAAGCTAAAGATAATATTTACCTTGAAAAATCCATAGTTGGGAATAAATGGCCACATCTGCAGCTGAGGCAAGTGAGAATGAGTGCACTGCTTTCAACTGAGCCACCCACTCCAATTTTCACCATCTGAGGATCCAGGCAAGCCGGTCAGGTAGGTGGGTAAGCAACCTAAACGGATGTGTATGTATGTATATAGCAAGCAGTTTTCTGGGGGAGAGGTTTGCTCTTCATTAGCCACTGTAAGTAGCTGTACCTTCTCTTTGGAGTTTTGATACCGCTTGTGACCCTTTTCTTTCTCCTCTCTTCCTCCTTATGCTCCCTCTTTCTCCAGGGTTTAATGCCATGGCTGCAGATGAAAGTACTACAGAAAAGCAAGCGGGGGAACCAAGAATGGCAGTAGATGGTGAAACCAACGGTTCCTGTGAGCACAGCGAAGCTGGTAGCCACCCAAACCCAGCTAAAAACACTCAGGACAATACGAAAGTGAGCCAGCAGGACTCTAGTACTAAATTAAATAGGATAGCGGAAAATGGCATTTCTGAACGAGATGGCGAGACTGGGAAGCAAAACCATATGAAAGCTAATGACTTCACACAGACTTCTGTAACAGGGAGCAATGGATATATTCTAACCAAGCAGATGGCACAGGAGCAACCTCTAAGGACTACCAGCACCTTTGCTTCTCTCACCGGCCATGCTGCAAAAACCCTTCCAGGAGGAGCAAGCAAAGGGAGAACTGTGGGCTCCTTTTCTCAGATGCAAGCCACAATGCCAACCAAGCTCGGGGAGGGCAGTAAGGACATGGATGCTAAAAAAGCCACCGCTGCTAACACTGAAGTCAAGGTCCACAGAGCACGGAAGACAATGCCTAAACCCACCCCTAGCCTGGTAACGTATACGCCCAGCAGTCAGTGCTGCTACTGCTGTGATAGCTCTTGGCTTTCTTTGAGTGCGTGAGAGGGATACCTTGCTGCGCAGGAACACGCGTGATTCGGAGGTGTCCCACTGAGTGGATTGATTTTTTTT